TTCCCGGGCGATGCCGGTTTGGTGGTCCTGGAGCAATCCCGGCCCGCGAGCGTGTGCCCGGCTCGAGGTCCTATGCGTGGCGCCTGCCTCCGTGCCGGTTTGGGGCACTCTGCCTGCGTGCCCCTGGACGCAGCGGCACCGGCCGGTGGGTCTTCCCCATAAAGTGCTGCACATCGACGCCAAACTGGGGTCTCTGATGGCATATCCGGGGGCATCCCCCCAAAATCTTGTACTCTGCGCACATGGGAGTTACTCAGTTTGCAGCTGCAACGTGTTTGCTCCGGAGGAAAAACCGTAACACTGATAAACCAGCCCCCCGCGTCGGGCTCCTTCGGGTGCTTGTTCTGCCCCACGTTGCAGGAAAATCTTTCTGAATGCTTTGCCTTCTGCGGTCCTTTCCTTTGGAGCTTGGGAGCCTTCTGCACGTGTTCATTAAGCTTTGTCGGAGGGGGATGGAAATACCAATTTTCTGTATTAACAGATAAGGGAAACTGAGGCTCGGATGTGCTGGCAGGTCTGACGCAGCCGGGGATAGCGGATGTGACCGACAGATCCTTGTTCTAAAATTGTAACTTACCTGAAATTTCTAATAAAATAAACAGTTCGTTACGTTTCTGTATCACCTCTTTTTCTGGAGACTCTGCACTTCATGTTTCGTGTAGCCGAGACTCTCTCCTCTCTAGACATGGAACGCGAGTAGCCGTGTAGTCTGAAAAGGAAAAGGGGTGATGCCAAAGCATGTCACATTTACTTGCAGCTTCTTTGAAGAAAAGATGTTGTAACCTGTAGCCGTGAAGCTTCTTGTTTTCCCTCAATCCTGTATGAATGCATCACTTTCCTGTTGCCTTGAAACATAAGCGTTGGCCCCGTTTAACGCTGTTTCTCTGGTGTGGATCAGCCGTGATTTGCTTTGGCTGGAGTTGCCCTTTTTTATTACATCCCTCTTGGTGAATATATATGGGTTTGCTCTTGGGGGCGGGGGGGGGGGGGGTGGGAAAGGGGGATAAAACACTTTTAATGAAAACTGCTTTGAACTGGTAAACTCATATTATTGTTACTTCCGCGCAGGGCCAGTTGAAGTGTCGGGATAACCAAGATTTGCAGTTAAATGTTGCCCGTGAGCTGTACTGAAGTTACACGATTGAGGAATAAATTATTAGCAGCCGAGTCCTCTTCCCTCAATACAGCACGTGGGGTGTTGTGTGGGGACGCCCGCTTACCCAATGGTCTTAGCAGGATCGGGGCCTGGCTGATATCTCTATAATAGATGTTTGTCGTGTGGTTTTTGCATGTTGAAGAAGAAATAATCATGATTTAATTGTGGCAGAAATGCAGCTGGGCAGAGCGGAGCGTGGCAGCTGTTGAACAATGCCCAGCCACTGCACAAAGGTTCGGGGCAGCAGACTGCTGGAACTGTATCCTATTGAAACTGCAGATTAAGTTACTGCAAACGCACAGGATTGCTTCCCTCTGGGCCTGCAGTTCTGCTGCCAAATTGGTTTAATATAACAACTTGTTTGTGCGTGAAACACTTAGAACTGGAAGAGACGTAGTGGTGGAGAGTGAAAATAAATACCGTGGGGAAGGAACTTGCGTGGAGCGCGGGAGGGAGGGATGGCTGTGTAGCCCAGGAGGCTTTGTCTTGGGTGAAGCCCAGGCTTGGTGCTCTTCCTTAAACCTGCTCAGTGTCACACGCACCTCGGGGGCTCCTGGTGACCGGGACAGGTAGCTTGGATTGTTTCGTGATAAGAAACCTTGGCACTGTATAGCTGGAAAACTGTGTTTTTAAGTTACCGTGAGGCACGGGTGGCCCCAAAGTGCAAACTTTTGAGGTTTTGTGGGAAGCTGCGGGAGCAATCGCATTTGAAAACTTGCCTACAAACAAACACTAGATGCTGATGGGAGCAGGAGCGGTGGCATGTGCATCGAGCCATGGCGCGAAGGTGATGTTAGGGTCTCCATGCTCTTGGGGAAAGGTTTCTCAGCCTGGTTGAGGCCTCTGCTTATGGACTTTGACAAGACTCCCCAGGTCCTACAGGGCTGTTTGCTGATGCTGCTTCTGAGCTTTCCCCACTTTGTACGCCAGGTCTTGCTCTGTGCTGCCACGTTGGTGTTCACAAGCAATGTTTCAGATCATATACTGCAGGTCAGATTTTCTTGCTTGGGTTTTCTCCCCGCTCTTACTCTCTGTCTGGGGCTCCTTCCCCTGTCCCGAGCACCTGCCTGCAGCACCTGGAGCAGACCCTGCTGCTTTGGGGGAAGGCATTGCAGTCTTGTTAATGAAATCCAAAAATGTGAAGTTTGCAATTATTGAGATTTCGGGGGCTCAGAAGTAGCAAGTCCTGCCAAGTACCGTGGGATGTGCCTGGCATCCCTCATGTCTGGGAGACAATAGGCAGGGTAAAACTACTCGGTGCTGATCCCATTCTAACTATCCAGCTTGGGCTCTTCCCCTGAAGCCCGGTGTGAGGTTATAAAACTCCACTTGCTTTGGACGCTCCATGGCCTGAACTCTTACTGGGATTTTTTGCCTCAAGCAGTTACCTAACAACATTACTGGCTGTTATTCCTTGTTGACATTTAGTTCACTTTTTTGGTAGTTTTTTCATCTAGAACATTCAGTAGAAGAAAACTTAGTATTTCCAGTTCTGGGGAATAATTGAAGCAAGCAAAAATGGGCGGTTCTACAAGGGCGGTATCTTTTTTAAAACAATATCCCACAAACCTGGAGCGTTTTTGCTTCCCCTGCCCTGCTTTGAAGGCAAGAGAGGAGAAGGGGAAGTAGCTGATGTGTCTGAGGCTCTGAGATGTTCTGCTCTCAAAGTGAAGTTTCTTTAGAGCTTTTTTCCAAGTGTTCCTTGGTCCAGTTGATCGCCGTAGCCTCTTAGTCATGGCAAATCTGTGCCCACTCACACACTTGTGTTTTAGCAGTGAGCTGTTAAACCCTTTACCTGGTTCT